TTTAAGGGGGTCTGAATACTTTCCGTACCCACTGTATATTAGGGAACTATGTCAAATCAGTATTAGAATACTACTGGGTACACCATACCAGATATTCAGAGATATGCTCCGGTCAAGCAGGCACTTAATTAGTGATTTTAACTTGATTTTATTAATTAACTTAATTATTTACACATTGGAATGAAAATGAACAGGATGAAATGTAATAGGTTGTAAATAATGAAATAAACATGGATCTTAACAGAATGGAAATAAAAGCTTACACTGGGGTGTCAAATTTAAGTAAATTTTATTAATATTATCAAAAGTTGTTTTAAAAATATCTTACAGGTTTATGTCATTTTATCAAACAGAGCCGAGTGTTTTAAAGTGTGACAAACCAGCTAACAAGTCAAACCTCACTGAATTAATCAAGCCATATCAATAAAAGCCATTTTATTATTTTTTTTTCCTAAATTTGGTGTTTTCTGTTTTCATATTTCTAGATTGCAGTTAAATGGTTTAATTACATTTTTAATTTAAAATCTTAACTTTAACAATGTAGTAAATCTTTTAAAATGTATATTTAAATAAATATTTAGTACATGTATTGTATATAAAAAAATTGCATTTTTATTATTTAAAAATTTTTTTTTTTCTTATATATATTATATATATTATAAATAGCAATAAATTATAAATAGCAAAAATATATATATATTTTAAAATGTAGTCAAATGAAAATATAAGAACAGAACATTTTTATTTTGTTTTGTATTTTTTGTCAAAAAAAGCACTGCACAACAGAGGTTTTTTTTATGTTTATTATAAATAGTGATCTATTTCATAACTCATAAGTCATAATAGTAATATGTATTATAGCCTAATTTCTTCAAGTTAAAGTGAAACTTTTATTATAAATAATAAAGTTGTTGTCGCTTTGTGAGAATATGAATAGAAGGATATCATTCCAGAATTTCCCAACCTGTCAGACTGCTTCCTGGACACGCCTCCTTTTCTAGCAAAGGAACAGCTCCTTACAGAAAGAGGAAGTGCTTTAATCTCATTCTCTTATTGTTATACAAGCTGTACACTCACTACTTTACATTGTAGCAAAGTGTCATTTCTTCAGTGTTGTCACATGAAAAGATATAATAAAATATTTACAAAAATGTGAGGGGTGTACTCACTTCTGTGAGATACTGTATATCTGCTGGTGAGTACGTTGCATTTTGGGTTGTTTATATGTTTATTTTTCGGATTTTCTAGCTGTGCAGCGTGACATTTAACCCTCAATGATTGTGCGGCAGTTGACGTGTAGGAGACTGACCTCTCAGCTGTGTGCGGCAGTCAGACTGAACTGGAGCGCTCCAAAGATGGCGAGACCAAGCTCAAGTAAAACACTTTTAAGACTCTCTTCACTGTGTATGTATGGCAGTGGATGGCCTGTGAATTAAATGGTTTGCAACTTGTTTCATTTGCAGATTTAACAGAGTTTCGTGAGCATTTTGCTAAAGCCAAGCACATTGCTATCATTACGGGGGCCGGAGTGAGTGCAGAGAGTGGAGTACCAACGTTTAGAGTACAGGGGGGCTATTGGAGGAAATGGCAGGCACAGGTACACATCACACAGTTTTTACCATCTTAGTTTCGATATAGGACTTATACTAAGGTTTTTCAAACTTTTTGATGCTAGGACTCAAATATGACAATCCCTTTGTGATGATCCCTCCTCTTGATAAATATAAAGGCAGCTATATATAAAGGAGAATATTAAATGTAATATTATTTTCCAAAATTAAATAATTGGCTTTTACATTGTCAATATACTAAAACACATTGTTAAAATATTATATAAATTTTATTATATTATATTATATAAATTATTATATTATAATAAAATAAGATAATGTATGTGTTGACAATGTATGTGAGTTTAACAATTATTATTTTTATTTTAGAGAAGTATTTAGTAAAAAAAATATATTTTAGAAAAATAAAGAATATACATTTATTGAAATCATTTTCTTGATTTCTTAAATCTTTGGAAAGCATAATAAAATAGTATAAAATTTAGTGAATGTGAATGTACAATACACAAATTTCATTAATATCTTAATTTTAACTTTGACAGCTCTAAAAAAAAAAAACATGTCAAATTTTTCACGGACTCCTTACTATCCCCCTGCGGCCCTCTGGGGTCCCCAGACCCCAGTTTGAAAACCCCTGACTTATATAGTACTTGGCAGAGCATAAGCGCAAGCACAGTGACTATAAGGTGATATCATGCTCTAATTGACAACATAAATAAGCCTAAATACACTTGTAAATGAAGAGGTAAGTTTTAGTCTTTCTTTGCTATGTAAAACGCCTCATTGAATCTGTGTGAGACTTTGAAAAGTAGTGGAAAAGGTACAGTAGGGTACCTGTTGTATATTATACTGCATGACTTTTCTTTAATTTATGATTCAGAATTATATACAAATGTGCCTGTAAAACGTAGTTTACATTTTGCATTGTAAATAATGACTGTAAACTTTCATCTGTTTGACAGCTCTGACCAAATTTGTCAGGCTACGTGTAATAGAGCATATAAACACTGTAGTCACACCACATGTAAGCAAGCAAACATGATCATTAAATAGTATTATTATTATTATTATTATTATTTTTTTTTTTTTTGGAGTTTGAATGTGTAACTGTATTTTTGGGGGTGGATTATAATAATCTTTGTAATTAAATTTTAATTTAAAAAAGGATGTCATTTAAATATTAAAATTAACATTTTAATCAACTGTTTAAAGTTTAATCAAATGAAAATATAACAATTCATTTACAACAAAACATTGCAGTTTTATTTTTTAAGTGCATAATTTATAAAAAGTTCTTAATTTCACACCACATATACATAAGTAAACATTAACAATAATAATATAATTTTTGTGGAGTTGGGATGTGTGACTGATTTTTTTTTTTTTTAGCATTTTTTTGAAAGGATTGGGGGTGGATTCATTTGAATTAATCTTTGTAAGTTCATGCATTTCTCTCTTTTCGTCTCTTTGTCTTTTTGGATTTGGCAACGCCTGAAGCTTTCTCTCGAGATCCTTCTTTAGTATGGGAATTTTACCATTACAGGCGCGAGGTGGGTTACACATTACTGACTAAATGGTTACCACTATCATAATGCCATTTGTTTCTTTCAGTGATCAATTCACTGTAATATTCATAAATTTGATGTAGTAAAATATACCTGGAATGTTATGTTAATTTTAAAATGAGACTTACTTTTGCTTTTTTTTTTTTTCTGTATGCATGTTTTGCATCTTTAGAATTGCAGTCATGAATCTAAAAGATCCTGGGCCCTCATTTATCAACAGTGCGTAGAAAAGGTTCTATATTTTGTCTTACGAATGAAATTTAGAATGTGCCTAAGTACAAGAAAATCCGTATTTATCAAACGTGCGCACGCAGTTCTTACGCACATGAGTAAGCAATCATTGTTGATAAATCCCACATGTGCGTAAGTAACATGCTCGTTCACGTTCACGGTCATTTGCATTCGGAAACGCCTCCAATGAACCATATATGGTGACAAGTTGACAACACCTCCCTTTATAAATCACGTGAATGTATGTGTCCTCACCGAAATCATGGCAAAGAAAGCGGTACCGACTGAGAAGCCATTCTGTGCTCTCACTCTCAGCGCGGTCTTTGAAAACGCGTTCTCTGCGGAGTGCATTGTTTGCCAAGTCTTCCAATAACGCAAGATAAGCCATTGCCAGTGACAAACATTTGTCACAGCTGTGTTTTATAGGGTTTGACACC